GACGCCATGAACGCCCTGCCCAAATACGTGGTCTCGAACACCTTAAGGGCCGCGGACTGGAACAACACGAAAATCATCGGCGGTGACGTCATCGAAGCGCTTCGCGATATTAAGGCCGCATCGGAACGCAATCTGTACGTCTTCGGCAGCGCCGAATTGCTGGCGACGCTCCTGCCCGCCGGCATTGTCGATGAATACCGGCTCGGTCTCGCCCCGCTCCTGCTCGGGCGCGGCAATCTGCTGTTCAAGCCGTCCGACACCCGGATCGATCTCGAACTGCTCAAGACCCAGCCGCTCAAAAACGGTGGCATCGTCCTCTATTACGGTTTGAAAACCCCGAGCTGAGGCCAAACCCAAACCGGAGGCACGCCGGTCCACTAGAGCGCTTCCAGGATAAGTGGGCACCACTTATCCGGTTCGGAAGCGCGACAAAACAAGGACTTAGAGCAATTGGAGCGATTCAAGGAAGCGCTGAAATGCTCTAAAGTGGAGATCGAGCAATGCCAATCTATATCGCCATCGGCTATGGTGACCGGGCTGGCTACGACCGGACCCCGGAACACATCAGACAGGCAGCCCACGATCACGATGCATGGCTCAAACAGCGCGGCGTCACAATGGGCATCGCCGGAACGCCGGTCCAGGTGCGCAACCCCAACGGAGGCGGCGTCCAGACCGAACCCGGCCCCTACCTCTCGGCGGGCCTGCCGATCGCCGGTTTTTCGATCATCAAAGCAAACGACATGGACGAAGCTGTCGCACTTGCCGCGAAATCGCCCTGCGCCGTCGCCCACGACGTTGTCGAAATCTGGCCGCTCAACGAGGGCTAGACCAGCGAGAGATCGGATAAATGGGCCCCCTCGGGGGCCGACGCCAACCATAGGAGCTCAAAGCAATGTCCAAACTCAAGGTTCTCAGTTTCGCTGTTTCTGCCGACGGTTTCGGAGCCGGCGCCGACCAAAGCATCGAAAACCCGGTCGGCGCCAACGGGACCGATCTGATGTCCTGGTTTCATCCGACCCGCACGTTCCACAAGGCCGTGCTGGGCAGAGACGACGGCGAAACCGGCCCGGACGATGATATCGCACGCATGGGCTTTGAAAATATCGGCTCATGGATACTGGGCAGAAACATGTTCGGGCCTATTCGGGGGCCGTGGCCGGACGATAGCTGGAAGGGCTGGTGGGGCGACACTCCGCCCTATCATGTCCCCGTCTTCGTCCTGACAAACCATCCCCGCGATTCCTTCGAAATGGATGGTGGAACGACCTTCCATTTCGTCACCGGCGGTATCGAGGAAGCGCTGGACCGGGCAAAAGGCGCCGCCGGCGGCAAGGATGTGCGGCTGGGCGGTGGCGTTGCCGCCATCCGTTCATATCTTGAGGCCGGACTGGTCGACGAAATGCACCTTGCGTTCGTCCCGGCGCTGCTTGGACGCGGCGAAGCGCTGTTTGCCGGGCTCGATCTCAAGGCGCTGGGCTACGAAGTCACGAGGAGCCAGACGACGCCCAAAGCCATGCATCTTTTCATTGGCAGGCGCTAGAGCGCTTCCAGGATAAGTGGCTACCACTTACCCGGTTCGGAAGCGCGATAAAACAAAGACTTAGAGCAATTGAAGCGATTCAAGGAAGCGCTGAAATGCTCTAGCGCGTAACATCGCCCCTGCTCGGTCGCGGCAACCTGTTGTTCAAGCCATCCGACACCCGGATCGATCTCGAACTGCTCAAGATCCAGCCGCTCAAAAACGGCGGCATCATCTTGACTTATGGCGTGGGCGCGCCAGGCAAGGAGAAGGAATGACCCGCAAGCTCATCTATTCCCTGCAGATGTCTCTCGACGGCTATATCGAGGACGCCTCCGGCAGCATCGATTTTACGCACCCCGAGCCCGAGCTGCACACCTATCTCAACGATCTCGAAACGACCATCGATACCCACATCTATGGTCGCCGCCTCTATGAGACGATGAACGACTTCTGGCCGACCGCGGCCGAAGAGCCAAACGCCGAACCGGAAATTATCGAGTACGCGCGGATCTGGAACGGGCTCGACAAGCTGGTGTTCTCCAACACGCTTAAAACTGTCGGCCCCCGCACCCGGCTTGCCACCGCCGATGTCGAAACCGAGCTTGCGGCCCTAAAGGCCAAGCCTGGCAAGGATATCAGCGTCGGCGGCGCGACCCTGGCTGCCCAGTTCATCGCCCGCGACCTGGTGGATGAATATTGGGTCATCGTCTATCCGGTCCTCTTGGGCGGGGGAAAACCGATGTTTTCGGCGATGGACCGCCGCATCGACCTCGAACTCTACGACACCCGCACTTTCCCCGCTGGCGCCACTGTCCTCCTCTATCGCCGCCGGACCGATAACCGCGCATGAAAAAAGGGCCGGAAAACCGGCCCTTTCGATACCTGACCCGCCGTAGCGACTAGAGCCCTTCAGCTCTTTACGGAATCGCCGTTCTCCTTCTGCGCTTCCCCGGCGAAAGCTGGGGTCCATGAGAGCTGCGTCAAGCGCCGGCGCCTCGGCCCACGCTGCTGGGCCCCGGCTGGAGTTTATCCCGGCGAAAGCCGGGACCGGGGAAGCGA